CCAAGATAAGATCCCATACCTCCAAGATTATGAATTCCCAGAACCGCTTTTATTTCTTCCTTCATAGAAACATCCACCTTATGGCCAAACTGAATCGAAGATTTTGAAAAATTAATTTGTTGTCCTGAAACCGCTTCATATTGCTTTAGAATCTCCAAAATTACTCCGCATTGTTCTTTATTGGATTTGCAAAAGAACAAACTATCATCAACAAATAAGAGATGAGATACCGAAGGGCTAGCTGTGGATACTCTAATACCAGTAATTAATTTTTCTTGTTCCGCTTTCCTTATATTCGCAATAAGCACCTCCGTACAGAGAATAAATAAGTAAGGAGATAAAGGATCTCCTTATCTTAATCCCCTTTCCGGAATAATTAGTCCTCGAGGTTGTCCATTAAGAAGAACTCTATATTGGACTGTAGTGATACACCACATCATCCCACGAAATCAACTTACCTTGTTCTCGTTTTCTCTCTCGCTCTCATTCTTTCGATACTCAAATCCACCATTGATGAACAATAAGGTTTACCATTAAACACTTCTCAATCTCGCTGAATAGATAAGTTCATTTTTTTTTCTTTTTTATATTTGTGTTTTTCTCTTTCTAACTCTTTCCATTTTCAAATCTCATGTTTGCTTCTCTGTATTTTTGTCACTTCTCAATTACTAATATCCTTGCTCATTGATTTATCCTATAGAGTTCTAAATTATACATATATTGTGTACATATTAGTTTTATAAAATTTAAATTATTTATCTTTTTTTTCTTGCAGAATTTAAATCATGGCACATGAATTAAAGAGGTGGGACGAACAAAACATAAGATATTCAATTCAAGAGTTTTCTACGAAGAACAAACGTCTACAATCCTCTATAGAATCCTATCAAACATACAAAACCACCACCTCCATGACAGAAGGCCTACGGCTAAGCATTATCTAGTTGTTATTTGTGTTTATACTTCCAATTATGTGTTTTAATCATACATTTGCTTTAGATTTTTGTAGTTATATGTTTTAGTTTGTAATTTTACCATTGGTTGTATTATTGTAATTATAATATAAAATGATATAATGATTTGCAATTTACATATTTTACATCCTTTTTCAAAATTTAATTATAATTAATATATTAAAAATATTGTTGAAACGAATTATTGTAAAATTAATTATTTCAAATGACAAAATTATTTGAATCAATTATGAAAATTGATACTAATTTCACATCAATTGTTTACAATTGATACTAATTTCACACTAGTGTTGTTATATATATACACCATTTATGAACTTGAGACATATTGATCACATATGTTTCCTTTGTGTCAATCATTGTGTCAAGTAATACTTCATCGTCTGAGTTAGTTCTGTCCATCGTCTTTGTTTAACTGTTACACCATCACTGAGACATCTATGACGATTCCATATATGTATCTATGTCGCATATATCACAGTCACTTCCTGAATCATCAACGATCTTATGACATGTTTAGATAGATTCTAAAACTCAGTCAACACAACATCTTCACTTACTTTTGTTGATTGCCTTTATTTCTCTCCTTGAATTATAAACACAAGACATTCAAGTTTAGAACTTTTACCAAACTATACAAAGGCTTAGCCAAGACAAAGGTTTCCAAATAAGTAAAAGGAATAGACGACAGATTCAATAGAAATAAATATATATATATATATATATATATATATATATATATATATATATATATATATATTTTTTTTTCCTCACTCAATAGAAATATATATTGATCAGCTAAAAGAGGACAAGGCACAAAATAATATAACGGAGACCAAATTAACTATACATGTCACTACTGTTAAAGCTAAAACTAACAACAAAAGCTTAGCTAATCCTCTATGAGATAAAAGAGGAACGATCATCAAACCGGAAAGGTGTTTCTAAAGAAGACGACTTCACTTGTCGATGAGGAAGAGTGCACAGTAGATGAGAGGCTAACGTTATCCAAGATAACTTGGCTCTTGCATTTGGGTGAGGCTACTTTTTCATGCATCTGAAGTTCGGTTGATAGTATACTTAGATCATCATCAAATGACGTAACAGTGTATAATATCGCTTGTTCAAGATTCAGCATTGTCTCCAAGAAGTACTTGATCAACTCCGTCTGCTTATCCATGTCAATGTCATCTTTGTAACTAGGGATTTCTCCTAACGTCAACACCTTTAGTGCCTATCTTCACTGGACTTGATTATATGGAATTAGGAGTGCCTTCCCAAGGTTTGCACACGCATCTATCACCATCCTCGCCCCCAACATTTGTTTGTATCTTTGAAACGAAGTCTCTCATCTTCAAACTAGTTGACAAGATGACATTCTAGATGATGATAGTTCATTTTGGTAATATATATATATAGAGGTGTCATACGGACCGGCCCGCGTCCATCTGGGCCGGCCCGCGATGGGCATTTAAGTTTGTGAGACCGCGACGGACCGGCCCGGACCGCGGACAAAAATGATAGTTTTGATTTATTAAAAATAATTAAAAAAATAAATTTAATTTTTAAAATTTGAAATTAACAATTTTTCAATTTAAAATGAACTTTTAGTATTAATTTTTTTGTAAATCTTATAATTTTATACATTAAATTTCGTTATATGTTCATATATTTCACATATATATTTTCAGAATTATTTAAAAGTATTTATTTATTTATATTAATTATTTATTTTTATTAAATATTTGTAGTCCGCGGGCCGACCCGCAAACTAATATACATTATAAATATGATGTATAATTTTATTGGGAAATTTGTTTTGTAAAATGTCCTTTATATATCTCTTGAATATTATAACTTATTTTATTTTATTTAAGGAATGGATTAACTAATTTTTTATCAATTAATTAAAAAATAATAATTTATTGATCATAATTTAACTAAAGTTAAAAATTAATTAGATTATTATATTAATTTTAGTAAAATAGTTGGTGAGGTGGCACTATATATATATATATGGTATATATATGATACCATATATATATTAATATATATGATATATATGGTTATATATGATATATATATGGTATCATATATATATTTGATATAATTCCTTATTGATACTAAAATAATGTTTAATATTTAAATTGAATGTATATTTTAATTAATGTTTCAATATATTGGCAAACAAGTATATATATATGATATATCATAACCAATCTATATTTCTGAAAAAATCATAACAATACTAAAAACTTAAGTAGAGAGTTAAAAACATTTTAAAAAATGGCATATAGAAGATTTGTTTTCTTTGCTTTCATCGCTCTCTCTGTTTTACTTGCATGTTAGTCTCATGAGATCAAAAACCTCCTAAACGATTTTTGACTTTGATTTTACTCTTTAAGACCATAATCTTGAAATGTGGTGTATATATTTGTTATTTTCAGGTGTTGAATCCGTTTCTATGGTAAGTGAAGATTCAATTTTGTCTTCCAACAAAAGAGCTTCATTGTGTTGCAAAGATCATCCCGAGTTTGGAGTATGTACTAATAACACCAAGTGCAACAAGAGGTGTCTTAGAGGTTGTAAGAATAGAAAAGGTGGCTTTTGCAAGAGAAAAGTTTGTCATTGCTATTGCTAAATCAGTAAACATTTTGTTGTAATTTCAATAATAAGATTAGTAAAGGAACTCTTGACTCTTGAGTAATAATTGATCAATATGGAGATATAATATGTTGCTTTTGCTCGACCGGGCTTTGGGGTTGGTTTGACCGCGAAACAAATTGTGTCTGTAAAGGCCGATGCACAATGGGATTGACTGAGGCAAATATGTGCGAGCTTCTATGGTTTGTGGCGTTCCGTTATGCATACTGCAAACATGAAAGACCGCACACCTCAAATGAACTGTCAGAGACTCAGAAGCTTTCGTTTTGGCCACGAAGTGGCTAGTCTCGACCAAACACCTATTTGATCCATATTTTCCTAAAATCAAGCTTGATTTCGTTGATTATCATTATCCAAAAGTTCAAGCTTCTTAATTCATTTCTCCTTGCTCTATCCATGTTTTGCCTCCATTTCCCATGATTTTCGCCAAAGGTCCCTAAGAAGTAAGAAGAGAAAATATTCAAAACAAGACTAACGATCCTAAACGACTCTAAAACCCGATGCGAATATAGGAAACACGATACAAAAATGATTCTAAGATACGCTAAAAACATGTACATCATCTCTCAACTAAGTAAGAGTTTTAAAGAGAAGGAAGAGGTTGCAAAAGTTGTCAAAAACCTATGGGAAGTTGTGAAACCTTCAGAGACCCTCCAGTTTACCGAAAAATCTTCGAAGAACTTCTAGGAGTCTAGAGAGGTGCATGAGAGCTTGACAGTTTTTGAGGTATTCCAGAGGCAACCATAACTACTTCGACACCTCCCGAAAAATCTTTCCCTTGTCCAATGCTATTTGATTGGAACCAATGGTTAGATCAAATAAACATTAAAAGGTGCCATGTATTATCGGAAATATGATTTGTAAAAAGACTCTCAACTAATGGACACCATGCATACTACAAGAACGTTATCACACACTATGAATAACCATATATTTCTGCCTTGTTTTTATTTATTTTTCAATCGTTTACTTATGGTCAGATTTGAGATCTCAATAGGAACAAGATTATTTAGGAATTCGGAACCAAAGGCCTCAGAAGCTAGCAAACTAGGCTATGTAAATTACTAGTGAATAATTGATCAATGAACTTGTTAAATTTTGATCATAATTTCAATCTTATACAAGTAAATAAGTTTGACAAAGACTTAAAAGTAAAACAGACCAAGACATCATTTCTATTAAATGAAGAAAAGACACAAAATGGCAGATAAGTAAAAAGCTTTTATGTCAAGTGACCCCATCTCATTTGAATTCTTCCTCAATAACTTGTCTTTTTAACTTACTTCTTCACTTCTTTTGTTTCTTATACATCAACTTGACATCTCCAATTCTATACATACACACACCCACACATAAATATATGAATCTAAACATCACTAAGTAAAGAGAGATTAAAGCCTTTTAGATTAGAATAACACAAAGAAGCCACACAAGTTCAAGCACCATACATAGATCAAGACACATAAGAGGCTAAAACCATTCCTAGTAGCAACTTTAGGTAGAGACTTCGAACATAACAAGACCTGGTTTATGGAGATGGCGGCCAAATATGCGGTTCCATGTCTAAAATTGCGTTGTCCGCATTAAAATTATCGTCCCAACCATGCTCAAACTCATCTTCATAGAACTCTCCCATTACACCATCTTCAAAAAACTCCCAAGCCAAGTAATCAGACCCATCTGAGAAATAATCTGAGCAGCAATCCTCCCAATCGTTTATCATATCATAGAATCCGATCACTCGTGGACCTAACACTTTCATATCTGGAAACTTCTCTTTGAAGAACTTGTTATCGAGTTGCACGTCCCAACAGCCTCTAAGTTCCAAGAACTCAAGAAAAATGCAGGATGATAAGATTTTGAGTACTCCTTCTGTGCTGACTCGGTGATATGCGATTTCTAACCGCTTCAGCTTTGGCATTGTGTTGGCGATTGCATAAGCTTCATCGTCGTGAGAGACAACACTTGCTACATCCAATGGATGCATGTTTCTGCAAAACTCTCTCAGGGATTTACAATGTTTTCCTATGGCTTGTATCGCCTCTGGACCTACTTTGCAGCAGTAGCTCAAGTCCAAGAAAGTGAGCGATGAAAGCTTTTCAGCCACGTTTACCACACCCGAATTAGTCAGACCACTTCTTGGCACCTTCAAGGTTTTAAGTGAACCAGCACTTACAAAAAAAAAACAAGGAAACATGGAAAAATATTAGTCAGAAAATGATAGATACAAAAGCAATGAACTTAGAAATCATGTTACTTCAATCTCATCCCCTAATACAATCTAGACGACGCGTCGACGCCTATAACCATTTAAAGCTTCTCAAATCGATAAAAGCGGATATTCGAGAAATTCAACTCCCTAGTGTGCAATGAAGGAGAGTTTCCAATTATGTTACTGCATCAATCTCAACTAAATACACCACTGAAAGGCTAAAGCTTTTAAGAATCAGCTCCAAATTTTCAAACACAAACTTAGATTACGCCTATAACCACTTTAAGATTCTTCTCAATTTGATCATAATACACCAAATAAAGCGGAAATTCAAGAAATAGCAACTTACTGTTGTGCAATGAAGGAGAAGATAGAGTCATTTCGAAGGCCAGTAACAGAAAGTTTTCGCAACGAACCAGAGCTCCTAGGGATCAACATCTCAAGCATCCGGTCAAGATGATCAGACTGATGACAACGGTTACTCCACAGCTCAATGTCAATCTCTTGCCAACAATAAGGTCCAGTAACAGCTCTGTTCCATGCTTTGCAAACTCTAGGCACCACTGTTAGTACCTCTTGAAGAGCTAAATGACTAAAGATTAAACCAAGAGCATCTGGAATTAACTCATCCCAATGTCGAAACTCGCAATCTTCTTCCATCTACAAACCAATACAAGAAATGATCATTTATACTAAAGATAATCACACAAATCTTCAAAATCTATGTATCTAAGAACCTCATAACTAAAAAAGACTATAACTTTTTTTCTTGAAGTAATCACAAGATTCATACTTTTGTACCAAGATCCAAGAGAGATCATAAACAAATGAAGAAAACTCAAAGATCTAACAAACCCATATGAACAAAAACATGTTTAAGGAACACAAATCTTTAAAGTACAACCACTAACACAGAAGCTCCCACTGCAGAGAGAACAGAAAAAAACAGAGAGATCTGAAACAAAAAGTTGAAAGAGCTCAAGAGAACCAGTGAAGTTACTAGAATTAGAAAGATAGATACTAAAAGAAGTAAAAAGGAAACAACTTTCTCAAACCCAAAAACTATCAACATGTTATTGATACTCAGAACTAAGAAAACAAACTTTATTCACCAGAAAAATCTCTATAGGTCCAAAAACCTTCTTCAATGTTTGTTCACCACAAAAGCTTGGTCAGGAAAGAGAGAGAGAGAGAGAGAGATCTACTTCACCTAACGAGAGAGAGAGCATCAACAATATACAACCAAACAACAAGAACAAAGCAACAACAGTAAAAATGCAGCAGAGTAAATTCTATGACAACAAAAGGGTCCCTCCAACAAGAAATCAATTATTTTTAAAAAAGAGAAAGAAAAAAAAAAAACAGTAGAATTCTTGAGTTTAAATCAAGAAACAGTTTAAACTTTATTTTTTACTTACTTTAATTCCTCAATAAGTAAGTGAAAAAGAGAATCACTTTTTACACGATTCTGATCAGAGAATCTACAAAACTTTTATGTAAACTAGATCGAAACCCGCGCTGCGCCGCGGGAAATATTTTTGATTTTTTAATTTAGTAGAAATATAATTTGTAAAAATTAAATAAAGTTTTAGAATTCGATGTTTTACCTTTTTTTTAGATTTTAGCATTTTTTGCATATCTTGTTCTCAAAACAATGAGGAATCAATGTTTAGTAAAACAAAGTTTCATGAGAAAATATCACACTATCTTTGATCCCGACTCAGTTTTCTTATGTTTCTTGGTCATTTTCTCCTGCATTTGATCTTTGTTTGATTTTGATAAGTATTGTAAATAGTCATTGTGTGTTATTTTTGTTTGATTTGAAATACATGTGTCTTTGTAGTAGAGATAGTTGAAGATTTCTCTGTAAACGACGTTCTTTGATGTATTTGATAGTTGAAGCTTTTTATTTCTGTTTGTTGCTTCACTCCAAATTCGCAGTCCATTATTTTTGAGGTGACTTGTGATAAACCGACATAGAGTTGTATGTGACTGAAAATAGGCTTTGGTAGATAAATGCCAACATTTTCCAAACTTTGCCTTTCACTCTTGTAGCACACTAACTGTTATATTGGGATTACATATCACACTAACTCTTAATCAAGATTACACAATAATGCATGAACTACTTAGGAACCATTATGTATATATCCCCTAATAGTATAAGGCGTGAGCCAAGTGAGCCAAGTGTACTACAAAGATAATAGCTCTAGATTCAGTAAGCCTCAATTCGACACTTCCACATAGTAAGAATTATTTACTTGTAATCAAATGTTTTTTTTTTACTCTAAGCCTCTCTTTTAGCATCTTTATGACCTGCAACATTCAAAATAACTGATATAGATCACAATCAAGTTTACTTGCATACTTTTCTTTGAAGAAAAGTCAAATGGGAAGTCTATGTCTCTCTATTCATTAGACAAAAACAAAACTTGTAACTTGTACGCACCAATCTTTAAGGATGATCTAAAGATACAAATTTACGTTAAACAAACTATCCGACCGTATGAAGAATAACCCCTAGCGAATGAAGAATATCCGACCGTATGCATCTTATGTCAAACTTATAGACTATACGAAAACAAATAATCAACTCTAGAAAGTATTTGCAGGAAACTTTAGCAGTTTATAACGTAATCTAAAGAGAAACTGTTATAATTTAGCTAGAACATGTTATTAGATAACTACTTTAGCTCTACATGACTTTTGTCGCTAATTTCATCAGAAAGCTTCAAATTTCACATAAGTGATTTAAACAAATCAGAGTAATCTAGCCAAATATATATGATCTCAAATGAAAATCAAAACCTATACTTAGCCATATTCCTTGTCTGTGGATAACTATATTAGCTTAACCGACTTCCGACTAATTTCAAGAGAAAGGTTCAAATTTAATACAATGATTATATCAAATCTAGTCAAAAAATATGCGACATCAAATGAACATCAAACCTAAACTTATTAGTCTTATTCTTGGATTACTTCATAAGCTTCAAATCACACATAGTGATTGAACCAAATTAGAGTCATCTAGCTAAATATGCTTGATCTCCGATAAAAATAAAACCTTGGAAAACTTCTTTAACGTAAAAAATGAATTCAATAGCATATTTCATCTGATTTGAAATCAGAGTGATTGATTACAGATATCAAATTTCACATTAATTCAAAAACAGGTTTCACATCAATTCCAAATACAATCAACAAACCTTTCACAATAATTAGCTAAACTAAACTTTTCGAGAGAGTGAATGGTTCACCTCGAGAATGGAGAAGACGAACTCAGAGCAGAGAAAGGGAAGATTCGAAGAGTTATCGATCGGGAAGGAGAGAAAGAAGAAATGGCGGTGGTGGTGGTAGCAGACGTGTGAGTAGATCTCCGGCGAAACGCTCAGAGGTTCCATACGGTAATTCACCGGAACTCATGTTCGATTTCTTTGATTTCAATGAAGAGGAGATTTCTGCAAAGCAAAAGAGAGATAACGCACACCAAATGTTTACGAATATGCTTCAGAGAACCATTGAACGTCTTTTTTTTAAGAGAAAGAAAAAAGAAAATGACGTGGAATAGGGAGAGTTATTATTGGCTGAGAAATCTGAGCTGTATTATTTGAAATATTTTCATTGGTCGACGATTTTTATGAGGTGTCAAGCTCAGAATAGCTTAAAATGCTGAGTTGTCAGCCCTGGAGAGATCCTTAATGTTATTATTGTATTGATTCTTTAACCAAAAAGAAAAAAGTTTTGATTTTTATCTTCTTAAGTCTCTCGGGAAAGAGATATAGTATTAATTGTGAAAACTAATAAAGTTTTGATTTTTTTTTTGTTTTGTTTGATTTTGATGGCAAATAGGTGCCGTGGAAATTGGGAATTACTATGACCAAGTGTGTGTGTGACATTTTTAACATTATTGCAGATAATGGAGAGAGTTTACTTGTAGGTGAAAATCCCGACACGTGTCGGTGAGAAAGTGGAAGATGGTGTACACGTGTCTGTAGATGGTGTTGTGGGATCTCTTACCGACGTTGACTTGTTGACTATGTACAAGGATTCAGAGACATCTAGATGTAGATGAGAAAAAGTCTTTATTAGGACCAAAGAGTAAAAGCGTGATCAATACGAGACACAAAGCCCATTTTGTTTTTTTTGGTCAACGACTCGAAGCCCATTTTGAAGCATAAATGTGAAATGTGTAATTTTCATGAATCAGAATCTGGTCCGGTGTGAAGTTAAAGACTTTTTCACGAATCAAAATACAAGAGACCGATTTCAAAACGATTTCGTTTCATACTTTGGTTTATAAATTTAACACCTGCCGACAAAAAAAAAAAATTATAAATTTAACACCTTTACTTTTTTATTTTTAACATTCCACATCATATTTTTTACTCTTTCACTTAATAATTTAACACATGTTGTGTTTGATAAAGTTCAACACACCTTACTCCACTACTTTTATTTCATATACTTTTTTTAATTTTATTTTGTGACTACATATTATAACAATCATCAATTAAAATAAAATTATTAAAAACTACATAACTTTCTAAGGCCATAACTACAATATTTTCTTAAAATTATTCAAATACCGTCATAATTGAAATATTGTTGAGATCTATCTAAAAAAAAAAGATGTTGAAGATATAAACAAGAGTCTATTAGAGAATAACTAAAGAAAATTATTTTCCTCGTCCTCCATATTAAGTAACCTTGATTATTTGTTCTGGAGGAGCAAGGACTTTGGAGCGACTAAGAAGAGTTTACGCATTTTTCTTTGGATTATGTAGTATATTTGGAAGGCGAGAAATATGAATATCTTTGAAAATATCGATGAATCCCCTCAAGACATCCTCAAATTAGCTACCTAAGAAGAAAGAAGTTTGGAGACGTGCCAACAATAGTGAAGAGTCGTCTCAGGAAGCAACATTGAGTTTAGGTGAGCCTCTTGTCCCACAAGATTATCTTTTGTGTTTCATTGATGGATCCTGGCATGCTACAGATGCTCGAAGCAGACATGGTTGGATCGTCGGGATAGGTGATAGAATTTTACACGTTGAGATGAAAAGTTCCCACAAATATCTTTCTCCTCTCTACACTGAGCTTGAAACCCTTCTTTGGGCAATGAAAAGTTTGTTGGCACTTTCTATGGATAGAGCCCTCTTTGTGACACATTGTTCAAATTTACATGCTATGACTACTAGTATCGAGGATTGGCCTACTTTCGCATCAAAGCTAACATATTTCAAGCTGTAAAAAAATTATTTTTGTGATATAAAATTTTGAAATCTTATTTTCGATACTAATAACCAATATTTATAAATTAAGTTTTCTTGTTTTTTGTCTTCAACTTAAAAATATCTTTTGGTGACTATATACGATTATTGTAGGGTTTATGTTCTTCACTAAATGCGATTTGAAGATTTTTAAAAGTTAAATTACGAATTTTGGACTTACAAACTTGGTTTAAATAATATATTCGGTTGAAATATTGGTTATAAGTATCAAAAATATGATTTTAAATGCTTACAATAAAAAAAAAAGTAAACTTTCACAGTTCTGTCGGATGATAATTATAAAGAAAAAAAATATCAAGAAAAAAAATTGTTTTCTAAGGTGATGATGACGTGGCAACGACATCATCAAGGACGTGGCAGCTGCATCATCAAGGACGTGACAGGTGCATCATCAACATCATCAACGACGTGGCATCCACGTCAGCAGAATGTATGATTCGCATGATTTGGTAAATTCAGGTATAAAATTTGAATTTTTAAGAAGATTGGGTATTTTTTAGCACATAAAAAAACTGTTAGGTATGAATTGAATACTTGAATTTAGGTCGGGTATGAAATAGCCGACTTTCCTATTTCAAGCACTATAAAGATCTTTTTGTAACTTATAATATTATGCATATCCCTCGAGAGGTCAATTTCCGTGCTAATAGACTTGCGAAATATGCAAGAGCACGTGATTTCTGTTTTTTCCATGTAAGTTTGTCGGTCCCCGATTAGTTCTCTCTCGAAGAGAGTCACCTCCAATAATTTAATGTATGGGGTTTGAGAGAAAAAAAATTATCTTTATTAGAAAAATTATAGTAAAAATTACGTTTTTTCAAGTCCAAACGAAATGAATCAAGTCTATATTTATGAAGTATAAAAAATGATGAATTTTAATATAAACATATTAAAATAATTGTTACTATACAAAAATTGGTCTTAAATAAATAGGATGAGAAACAAATCTTAAACTCTAGATAAAAAATATTTTTGGCTCATAAGTCACCACATATTCTTAAGGGAAATTGCAGGCTATAACCAAAAAAAAAAATATAATTAAGATTCTAACCATAAACCTATGATATTCTTTGTATTTTATGTATTATGGTCTACTTTGTACTTGTTGTATGATATTTGTCTCTACTCTCTTTTCTCAAATATCCCTACCAATCTATCGTTTATAACCACCGTCATTATCTCAACCACCGCTACCTATCATCGCAACCGCCACCCTCACCACCATTTCCATCGCAACCACCACTACCGCTACCTCCGTAATCGCTCCAGCACCATTATAATCACCATCACCACTACCATCGTTATCGGCACCATCACCCTGCCGTCACCACCACCACCACCATCATCTCTACCACCGCTACCACCATTATCGCAACCACTGCTACCGCCACCACCATTGCCAACGCCATTGTCACTACAGCTACAATCATAATCGCCACCACCCAACACCACCGCCATCACCATTATCACTCTGTTTTCTAATTCAATTTCTTATGTTTTTCTACTATTGTCTTTTTTATAAGCTATTCCAATTGTTTTAGATTTTTATAGAAATCTAACATCTTTTCTTTAAACATTTGTTCATTGTACCCTCTTCCAACTTGAATCCACCCAAGTCATATACTCATATCACAAATCATATAGTTTGATATTTGATAATTGATCGATTGGATTCAATATAGAAAAAGAGATGGGTATTAATTGAATGAGAATGAACAAGGAGGTGAAGAAGATAGAAGAAGAAAAGTAACTTTTCAATAGATTTGTTTCAAATGGAATAATATTGTAAGTTTATGGAAAAATTCATTTTTTTTAAATTGGTTTTTACATCATATTTATGTTTACAAATATCGATTTAAGTTCATAATTGTTTTAAATTTTTTTGTATGATATGATTTTTAAAAAACAGATATAAATTTGTAACGGAATAAATAATATTATAAAATATAACATTTTTATCTAAACTAAAAATGAGACTAAGAAATATTTTGATCTCACATGCATTTAATTAGAGATTTTTGGTTATCCTTTAGGTATAACATTCTTTATTCGACGTGTGTTTAATTCGGCGAATTGGGTTTTCTATATTGTGTATTTATGGTAAGATGTTTTTTTGTGCATTTAATTTGGTCGTTTGGGTTCTCTATGTTGTATCACTTAGGGTATAGCGTTCCTTCTTTGTCATGCGTTTAATTTAGTATGTTGTATTCTTTGTTATCGTCACCGTACTATATAGAATACTAAAATGTTCTATTCAATTTTTCTAAATAAATTCATTATTTTAATTTTTAAATTTATTAGTACCACTTTTAAAGATATGTTTTGGATTTGGGTTTAGACTTTTAGATTTAGGGTTTAGTATTTTAGAGTTAAAAATTGATTTAAGTATAATAATATATAGAAAATAGTATAGTACTATATCTAGTTTTGTGTAATTATGTATAGTACACATTTTTAGTTACAAACACTATTCGCTATTTAAAAAATTTATGTCCGTTTTAAATAATTCAAACAACGACATATTCAAAAAAAAATCTACTTTTTAAATAGGATCACAAATTTAAATTAATTTAATTTTAAAAACTATATACCAAACAAATGTGAGAGGGTGAATTAAAATTTTGTTCAAAAAAATAGAAAATAAAAAAGAAATTTTACCTTCACTCTCCCGCACATACGTGTGCTACACTTAGAGGTGTTTTTGTCATTTCTCTATATCTAATGCTTATTCTCTTTGCTTACAAAATTAGTGTGCTATATTCTTAATTTTATTTATCTTTTTGGTCGCTTACCTAAATGACCCTATTCTTAATGGTTACTATTTTAATTGTTTCAACATGTTGGACAAATTCAACCAAATTTAATCAACCTCATCTTTTTGTCTTATTCAACATACCCATTAGTGCCATTCAACACCTGAAAAAAAAAGATTTAACATCTCCATTGTATATGGTCTGATTTACTTCACAGATTTAACGTATTTTTAATTATGTGACGGCTAATATATAGTTTTTCATGAAAATCAAAATTTAAATAATAAATTTAATTTATGTAAAACCTA